ATATAGTATACTAATGTAATTATAATATAGTAATATGTAGTATTTTAATAATATATTAAGTAATATATAGTATACTTATATAAGTAATATATAAGTATACTAATATAAGTATAATATAGTATAATATAAGTACTACAATATAATATTATTTCTTCAATTTATAATTGTTTTTATAATCACGTTATTATAGTATTATAATTATTATAATATTTGTAGTTATGTAATATATGTAATATACTAAATAATTTGTACTGGCAATTTTCTTTGACGTAAATCGAGGAACGAATATAATTTGAAACTTTTAAACTAATATATGAACTTTCGTATAATTACAAATTATGTATAAAGTAACGTTGTCGATCCGTGACATTGTTCCATTCAAAGTTCCTCTTCGATCGCCTATCTATGTGCATTCCTCGAAGTCAAACAACAGGCTCAAACAGGAAAAGAAATATGCAAAATCGAAATTTGCATTTTGTCAACACTCTTCTTAAAATTAGAATAATTTCCATATGTCTCTACCTGAGAGAAAATATCCGGATGCAATTATTGCAAAAATTTCATTTTAACTTCTCTATTAGTTATTATCTGCTCCAACGTTTTATTCTAAAGTGTAGTTAGCCTTTTTAAATAATGTTTCATTGAAATAAATTACGTATACTATATAGTAATATATAATATTAATAATATAGTGTGTAATATTGATATTATACACTTTAATCTTGTTGTACTTATGTTGTTGTTAATAATAAATTATATAATGTAATTTATGATGTCAAATAACATTAGAATATAACTTTACGAAAATAACATTAGAATATATAATTTACAATGAAATTTATGATATAAAATAGTGATAAAATGCTTGTTGTACATTTATTTTATAATTACAAATAATAATGAGCAAATTTTTGTGTTCTTTTGGAACATCTTGAAAGTACAAAGTATATAGTATAGTATAAAGTATATGGTATAGTAATAGAGTTTATAGTATAATAATAAAGTACATAGTATAGTAATAAATTTGTATAGCATAAAGTATATAGTATATAGTAATAAAGTTTATAGTATAATAATAAAGAATATAATATAGTAATAAAGTTTATAGTACAATAATAAAGTATATAGTATAGTAATAAATTTGTATAGCATAAAGTATATAGTATAATAATAAATTCGTATAGCATAAAGTATATAGTATAGTAATAAATTCGTACAGCATAAAATATATAGTATAGTAATAAATTCGTATAGTATAGCATAAAATATATAGTATAGTAATAAATTTGTCTAGCATAAAGTATATAGTATAGTAATAAATTCGTGTAGTATAGCATAATATATATATAGTATAGTAAAATTCGTACAGCATAAAGTATATAGTACAGTAATAAATTCCTACAGCATAAAGTATGTAGTATAATAATAAATTTTTATAGCATAAAGTATATAGTATAGTAATAAATTCGTCTAGTATAGCATAAAGTATATGGTAACAAGTTCGTACAGCATAACTAGTATAGTAATAAATTCGGCTAGTATAGCATAATGTATATAGTATATAGTAATAAAGTTAATTTATAGTATAATAATAAAGTATATAGTATATAGTAGTAAAGTTAATTTATAGTATAATAATAAAGTATATAGTACAGTAATAAAGTTTATTGTATAATAATAAAATATATAGTATAGTAATAAATTCGTATAGCATAAAGTATATAGAATAATAATAAATTCGTATAGCATAAAGTATATAGTATAGTAGTAAATTCGTACCGCACAAAGTATATGGTATTGTAATAAATTCGTATAGTATAGCATAAAGTATATAGTATAGTAATAAATTCGTATAGCATAAAGTATATAATATAGTAATAAATTCGTGTAGTATAGCATAATATATATAGTATAGTAATAAATTTTCGTAAAGCATGAAGTATACAGTGTAGTAATAAATTCGTTCGTATAACAAATGGCGAGATGACGAAATTAACTCCTTAACGACGAACTGTGTATCATTACGTTCGATAATGATAAGAATTTTATCCTTAATCGCAATTAATTGTTGCCAGTGATCGTGAAAGCAGTAATTCAACAATTAACAACTAAAATTGATTAACGTAATCAGACAATTAAGGATTAATTAGAAGAAGATTATCAAAGGAAAATTTCGTCGTTGATCGTCGATTCTCGTTTCGCGAGATTCGCGTGCGTGCCTGCGTACGTGCGTGCGTGCGTGCGTGCGTGTGTGTCTGTGTGTGTGTGTGTGTCTCGTCGTGTTGCTTTCGTGCCCGCGTGAAACGTGTGTGCTTTTCGTGTGACTCATCGCGAGAAACACATAAACGAGCGAAATATTCGGTGCGTAGGCATTTCGACTGGAAAGCGACTGAAAAAAAAAAGGAAAAAAAGAGAGAGAAAAAAAAGGAGACATACGTGATTCACCGGCCGCATAATCGAAAACCGTCGGGACGCGTGGAACGCGGATGGCAAAATAAACATCCGTGCTTCAAATTCGACGTGGTGCCACTTCCTTCGTAATGCAAATCGGCGAGCAGCGTGTTTACGCGCGACGAACCGGGGATCGGAAAAGTTTGTGAGTTGTGAAATTTTTTTTCTTTTTTCTTTTAATGTTCTCACGTTGTTAGCTTCAATAGGTAGACAATAGATAAAGAAATGAAAGTTTCGATTAGAATGGATGCTTATTTTACGATGTGCAAATCAAAGTTTTTTGGTAATAGGAGCTTGTCTGTCTGTCTGTCTGTCTAATGTATTATAATGATATTCTAATGCTGTTCTAATAAATAATAATAATTATAATATTATTATATCTAATGTATTATGTCTACTAACGAAATATTCATCGTGCCTTCGATATTTGTTTTTTTTTATTAAAAACATGTGTATATATATATATATATATATATACGTTTATAATGTATATGTACATACGTTATATATATATATATATACATATGTTTATAATGTATAATGTACATATATAATATACATATATATACGTTTATAATACGTAATAATGTATAATATACATTTTTAATAAAATATAATAATAAAAATACAAAATACAAATATAAAATAATACATACAATACAATATAAATACAATACTAAAATACAAAAATTAAAAAAGTATACATTTTTAATAAAATAAAAAAATATATATATATGTATGTTAGTATTATATATTAAATCCTATATGTATATTATACATTATACATTACATTATATATATATACGTTGCATTATTTGTATATATAAATACAATTTTATATTACGTTATATTATATATTTATATATATTTGAAATATTATATCTACTATAAAGATATTCTCATCTTTAAGCAAATACGATCGGATCATGTCAGTATAGAAAACGAATAATCGCGTATATTATGAAATTAATATAAAAAACTAATTACGTGGTAAATATACGTTAATAAAAATACATGTGATAACGATAATATTTGAAATTTTTCTTGTTTTTCCTTCAATTATTGTCAATCATGCTAAAATATTCCACGAAGGAAAAATCTATTTAATTTTTCGCCCCCCTCCCCCCCCCCCCAAAAAAAGTTATCCGTAAATCATTATACATTTATGATAACTTTTTCTACATCAGAAATCAAATTGTCATTTCCAATCTCTTTTGCACATGTTACGCAGAATTATTGTGTAATTTTTTGATTCCACTTTCATGCATAAATACATATTTATTACTGAAACTCATGTAACTTGAACTTTGTTGTAGCACTTGATAAAAAAGCAGTCGGTAATCTCGATATATTTATGTGACTGTAGAGTGTGATTCACGATCCAGTCTGTGTGCTGCCAGATAACACATTTTATTATTCATACGTTTTAAAAATATCTGATAGTATAATGAATACCTATATATGTTACAAGTGTATTTATACTTATTTATGTGGGTTTTATTTCTTATTTATGTGGTTTTTATTGCTAATTCGAAAAAATATAATTCTTGAATGAATATAAACGATACGATATTAAATATTATAAATATAAAATGTAACATTATATTATTATATTATATTAAAATATATAAAATATTATATTATATAAAAATAAATATAAATATAACTGAAATTATAAAATAATTTATTAACAATATAAATATAAATAAAAAATAATAATTAGTAATATTAATAATATAAATATGAATAAAAAATAATAATATAAAGTAATAATTAATAATATTAGTAAGATAAATATAAATAAAAAATAAGTACCATGTGACAAAATAATAATAATATAAAATGATAATTAATAATATTAATAATATAAATATAAATAAAAAATAAGTACCATGTGACAAAATAATAATAATATAAAATGATAATTAATAATATTAATAATGTAAATATAAATAAAAAATAAGTACCATGTGACAAAACGTAAAATATAAATAAAGTAAAATATAAATTATAAATAAAGTATAAAATATAAATAAAGTAAAATATAAATTATAAATAAAGTATAAAATGTAATTAAAAAATATAAATTAAAATAAAAATAAATAATTCTTCCCCTATCTTGATATCGTAGTAAATTATTTTTTTTTAATCAAATTATGCGCATAGCTTCAGTAGACCACGGATGTTTATACAATTTTATATTTCTATCAACACGCTTCAAACGAATTGATCCTAACAAAGAAATTTGTCTCTTCCACTAAATATTACAATATTAGCACAATTACATTAAACGTTCTTGTTACATTTCTGTCGAATATTTCGTAATATCAATTGCGTTAAATATTTTCACGTATCATAAATTTTATAATTTTATAATTTCATGATTTTATAATGTCTTTTATCATAAACTGTATAATTCACGAATTTTACAAATTTGCGAAAAACTGAGTTAGACATCCATAATAAATTCACAGCTTCGAATTAATGTGGCAGAGTGGATTCTTAATTTTTCAATTAATTTTCTATTGACTTCTTTTTCTACTTTCGAAGCTTTTTATTTTCATCGTCACTGGTTCTCGGCCTTCGAAATTTCGGAAAAACCAATCGAGCATTTGGCATATTGTGACGAGTCTCTGCTTGGTCCTCGACAGGATAAATCGATTGAACTGGCTCGTTCGCGGTCGAAATTCTCGCGTGTTTGGGCCAACGCAGCCAAGGAATTCCCCTGAAGAGGGATGACCGGCAGGTGTACAAAAGGCGTACGAGAGGATCCGTTCCACCTGCGGTTTCCACGTTTCAAGGTCCCTTCGGAAAAAGAAGGAGAGGCACGGTTGGTTGCGACAGTTTGTTCAGCCGATGTAACAGGTAAGTAAACGGTAGCCAGCGGTAATCGATAAGTTTCGTAGACACTTGCGTAATACCATAGACAGCGTGAAGAAACTTGACTCATTGTTGGTCAAAATAGCACTGGCACGCTGCATTTTTTTTTTTTTTCCAAAATATTGTATCTTTTTTTGTGTATATGATGGCTGGATTTTTACGTATCAATAACATATGTATGTTATATGTATATGTATATTATGTCTATTATGTATATTATGTATATTGTGTATATTATGTCTATTATGTATATTATGTATATTACGTATATTGTGTATATTATGTGTGTTATAATGAAACATCTTGCAGTTTCATTAGCATTGCATTTCTAATTAGAAACCAATCTGAAAATATAGAAGTTTTAAGATACTTGAAACAGTTGTTTCTAAACAGATGTTTGTTAAAAAAAATTACCTATTGTATTTTATGTATATTATGTGTATTGTGTAGATTATGTATATTGTGTATATTATGTATATTTTTGTATTATCTATTATATATTATGTATATTATGTATATTGTGTATATTATGTGTGTTATAATGAAACATCTTGCAGTTTCATTAGCATTGCATTTTTAATTAGAAACCAATCTGAAAATATAGAAGTTTCAAGATACTTGAAACAGTTGTTTATAAACAGATGTTTGTTAAAAAAAATTATCTATTGTATTTTATGTATATTATGTATATTGTGTATATTATGTATATTTTTGTATTACCTATTGTATATTATGTATATTGTGTATATTATGTATATTTTTGTATTACCTATTGTATATTATGTATATTGTGCATATTATGTCTATTATGTCTATTATGTCTATTACCTATTGTATATTATATATATTATGTATATTGTGTATATTATGTGTGTTATAATGAAACATCTTGCAGTTTCATTAGCATTGCATTTCTAATTAGAAACCAATCTGAAAATATAGAAGTTTCAAGATACTTGAAACAGTTGTTTCTAAACAGATGTTTGTTAAAAAAAATTACCTATTGTATTTTATGTATATTATGTATATTATGTGTATTGTGTAGATTATGTATATTGTGTATATTATGTATATTTTTGTATTACCTATTATATATTATGTATATTATGTATATTGTGTATATTGTGTATATTATGTCTATTATATATGTTGTCTATTATGTCTATTACCTATTGTATATTATGTATATTATGTATATTGTGTATATTATGTGTGTTAATGAAACATCTTGCAATTTCATTAGCATTGCATTTCTAATTAGAAACCAATCTGAAAATATAGAAGTTTCAAGATACTTGAAACAGTTGTCTCTAAACAGATGTTTGTTAAAAGAAATTACCTACCGGAGACAAAATAACAGTAATAATAACAATAATAGTAATCGAGATAAAATTAAAAACTAATTGCAATAGTGATTGAAATAAAAATGAAAGTAGGAATTAAGAACAACAACGACACGATACAACAGACAATAATAATAAAAATCAAAGGAACTGTGACAAATGAAAATCACAATTACCAGATTCGGTTACTTCAAGTTGCCATTTTTTTTTTTTTTTTTTTTTTTTGCATCCTCATTAACAAAATACGCGTTATAATACTTTTCTCGACATCCTTCGATAGCGAGTGACACACTGGTCGTGAGTCCAGACACGAACTCGCCGAGCACCGACAGTTCTTAATAAGAGCATTCTTGGGGAACTGGGAAATGCGGCAAATTTCTTCATTCCATTTGATCCCAAGCAATTTCTGTACTCATTAGGTCAGGCCAGCAGTAGGTCAGAATTTTTCAAACGTGCTCGCAGGGTGTTCCGTCAGTAGGTGGTTGGCAAAAGGGTGCTACGTATTCGGGGCGCAACGTTGAGAATGACAATGCGACTTCAGTTCGACATTTTTACACACAGCGGAACGTTCAAATCGTGGAAACGTTCGCGAGACGTATATACGCAGGGGTGGTTTTATTAAAATTAAAAGACTGAATAATATAAAACTTTTGCAAACACACGTTTTTTTTTTAACTTTTTATTATTTTATTTGGAAATAGAACTGATGTAATTGAATATAATTAATCTCCAGGGAAGATGCTCTGTAACATATAAGAAAAAGAAAATAAGAAAGATTGGAAATGAACAAGTTATGACTTTTTCAAACCATTCAGTTTTTCAGTGATCACCCTGTATACAGTTACAAGATCGTTGTAGACGTGATGTCTATTTATTTATGAATATTTGTAACTTTGCTGGCAGAGTTTCATAATTATATGCGAGATATATAACAATATGAAATGCATAAAATGAATGAAATGTATAAAAATCATGTGATAATAATAAAATATTAATGAAATGTAAAGGGTATAAAATGTATAAAATAATGTACAGAGTGGGCCAGTTTATTTAAAAAAGAGACATTGAAATTGAAAATTTAGTTTTATTTAATTTCATTCTCTTTCATTTGAAAAACAAGAGAGGATAATTAATTATAACAGCGTTATAATGATAGAATGTGTTTTTATGCATATTTGTTCTTTCACAAACATAATTATAAAAACATAATTTAAAAAAACGAGACTACCTCACAGTAGTGTATCAAATAAAAATCGTTCTTTGGACATTTATATTTTTCATGTTATGTGCAATCTGTTAGGCAATTTTTTTTCTATAAAAATTCAGTTTACTGATAAGCAAAATAAATTACTATGATAAATACCTAAATATACATTAATATACATAATATAATAATAATAATCGATCACCGCCAAGTTAAATAATTATAATAATAATGTAATTTATATTTTTTTCTATAAAAAGTCACAGTTTACTGATAAGCAAAATAAATTACTATGATAAATATACATTATACATAATATAATAATAATAATCGATCACCGCCAAGTCAAATAATTACAATAATAATGTAATTGATATTTTTTTCTATAAAAATTCACAGTTTGCTGATAAGCAAAATAAATTACTATGATAAATACCTAAATATACATTAATATACATAATATAATAATAATAATCGATCACCGCCAAGTTAAATAATTACAATAATGTAATTGATAGTAATAATATAAATCTTTGATATGAGTGACTACAACTGGTAATGATACAATTAAAAGAAAAAAATGAAAATAAACTATCAAGCACGTGCTGGCAAAAGAGGAGGAGGGGAGAAACAGCGATGGAACTCGAAGACGTAGCAAAGCGAAAAAGGTCTGAAAGAAATTCTCGAAAACTGAGAACACGTGGCGAGGAAAATAAGAAAGAAGAAAGAAAAACATAGATGGAGAGAAAGATAAAACTAAACGAAGGGAAATCCTTTATCAAAAGCAGAAAATCCAAGAAGAAGAGAAGACGTAGAAGAAAAGAAGAACACAGAGAAAAAGACAGAGGGAAGAAGTGTAAGAAACGAATCGGAGAACGGCGACGAGGGGAAAAACGAAAAAATAAAAAAAAAAAGGAGAGAGAGAGAGAGAGAAGAGAGGAGAAAGAACTGGCCGCAATAGTACGTTGGTACGTATAGTGGCAGCGGTGTGAAGACGAAGGAAGGCCTCGACCGTTGATTGTTGGAGCCGATGTAAACTGAGCCACGGAACGTAAGAGTCGGGCAGGCTGGTGTATAGGCGAATAAACTAACCAGTCAGCTCCAACCAGTCAGTCTAGAAGACGCCGAGGGCCTGTGCTCGATCGGAGTTCCGCCTGTTGTTCGTCCGAGACGCCAGGACATTCCACGAAATGCCCTGCCGTGGCCGTTCCACTCCTCCCTCCATTTTTCCCCTCTTTTCCTCTTCCACTGCTCCCCGAGCCGTTTCCACTTGCTGCCCGAACGTTCAAGAGATCCGTAAGCAGCGCACTCGACGAGCGGCGAGCGCGCAGCGATGGGTTTGATTTACAATCGAGCTCGGCGATGATATAAATATACTTCAGTTTCGTGAAATTGTAAGAGTCGAAATCAGTCGTAATTCTGGAATTTTTTTCTTTTTTCGTAATTCAACTGTTGAAAGAATAAAATTTAATAGTATTTAAATAAATATATATATATGTATTTAAATAAATTGATTGGAAAAAATCGCAAGAGTTGAAATGTTGCGCGCAACGTTCTTTGCGCATGCGTCCAATTATACGAATACGCACTGCAACTTAACCTAATTGTAAGAAAACTGATACTGACAGTGCATCAGGGAATTCTCAAATATTACGAGTCTATGATTTTTTTAGTGATAGTGATTAAATGAAGCGAATATTACGAGTATATGATTTTTTTAGTGTGATAGTCGATTAAATGAAGCGTATTTCTACTTCTCTGTACACGATTTTCAAATGCCACGCTCGCGTCAGATTCTTCGCGCACGCGTCTGATGCCTACGTGTGACTAATACAAAATATGCGTTGCAGTTTAATCTAATTAATAAAGAAGATAATTGAGAATGCAGCTTTCAGATTCAGGAAATTCCTAATTATTTTATGACACTAGAAAGTGCGCAGTTGATCAGTTTGAATTTTTTAATCAAGCTTTGGAAGTATTAGAACAATAATTATTATTGTATTATTTCAACGAATGAATTTACTTGCATTGTATATATTTCTTTAAAAACAAGTACGTAGATTTTTATAAAAAGTAAAAGATAACCTTTCCTAAATTTATGTTTACATAACAATGTAAAGAATTAATACTCCTGAACAAACATTGGCAAGCAAAATGAAGGAATCGAAAAAGTGGCCATTGTTTATTTAGAATGAATGAACACGTATATAGAGAAATCTCAGTCGTTAATTGATTCCATTACTACACGAAGTGTGCACGGATCTCCACGTCATATGGCAGTCAGTTACATGCGGATTCTCCTTGCACACAAACAGTACACAATATATACAACTGATCACACTCTCTTCGTATTTTACTACTACAGAAGCGTACTGCTTATTGCTCCTTCTGCAGGGCCGTACGCAACGTCGCTTGCACCGGAAATTGTCAAGCAACATCAAACTGTTGGATAACTTGATGTAGTAATTTATGTTGAATTACTTTAAAATTTCATATTTATTTTATTGCATTTTATATTCTCCACAATAGAGATTAGCAATCGAATTAAATTAAATTAAATTAAAAATTTAAATAAGCAATGCGATGGTACTGTCAGATTATTAGTAATTGTACAATTATAGTAAGTAACATATGTTAATTATTTATTAAAATTTTATTTACCGGATTTAATTTTATTTTGTATTTTATTATTAATTTTGTCATTGATAGATTCAGAATTCCAACTAATTTTACAAATAATGAATGCAAAATTATAAAAAAGTATCAATTCTTCATTATACCAATATTATTATTAGTGTAATGATAATTATATCAATAATTTAGATTTAAATTACTTAATTTTGAAATTTTTAACTTAATTCAATTTTATTATTAATCTCCACGGAAAATGAAAAAAAAGTAAATTTAAATAGCCGAAATTTTAGTACCCTAATCCAAATTACCTTAGTACCATACTTCAGAATTAATTATTAATACAAGACTGTGATTTTATATGCATTTAATTTAGAAAATTTGCAAAGAATGTACACAATATAAAAAGATGTATAAAATATTTTATATTTTACGTGTCAAATGTTATTGAAGGCACTATACTTCGTTATAGATTTTTATTATATTTTATATTGTTATATATATTTGTATTTTACATATTAAAATAAAAATATTTTGTTGTCAAAGTCCTATTTTTTTTTTTTTTTTTTAATTTCTTCTTATGCTTTTAAAAACACGAATTTGCATAAAAATCCGCAGTCTAGTTTACTAACTATGTTTTTCTATCGCAACGTTTCAAATTTTTATAAAATATTAGAGGGAACCGCTCTGCCATGATGCAATTACCGCTAATACACTATCATTATCGTGGCTTATCATTCAAGGACAATCAAGCGAAGGTATAATTAACGATTGTGCCACGCAGACCATAGACAAACTTCCAGTTACACACGTTTATCGATCATAATTGATACGCAATACATATTACTCGTAATATTCCGAGTCCAATCAACTACAGCAACAAATAACTTCATTTTATTAATTAATCTGCCGATTTATTAATTAAACTGTACTTTTTGATTAAACTTTTTTTCCACTTCTGCACTTCACATTTTCAAAGAAAATATAATTAAATATGACATTAATGTTAAACAATACATGAATTTCACCATGACACATTTTAGTTAAAACAGATTTAAAGGTATTAATATAACACAATTATATTTCAAAAAAATGTTAAAAGTAAATATAGATTATATTGAATATATTCATCCCAATTTTAATTCATTCAAGATAATAATATAATATAAAAATGTTTCAAAAAATATTAAAATAATATATATTATTTAAGTACTTAATTGTACTACTATGTCGTATTTAAATATATTCAGTATAGTAAGTTGTAACAGTGCTTGATGCTTTTTTGTATATACTGTAAATTAAAGTGAAAGGGAGTTGCAAAACACTGAATACCCATTTTATATGGATGGAAGTTCTAGCTTATTTTAAATAGTTAACACATTCCCTATTTCAATTCTAAAATACTTATTTTTGAAAATAAAAGTTATAATATAAAGATGAATTATTTTCATGGTAAGGAAAAAAAAAATAAACTGCAATAAGAACACATAAATATATAGACGTATATTTCAGAAAATACTAAAAATTAAATCATCATTAAACAATATATTCATTAATAATAATTATACATCAGCTCAGGAGATGTTAATTTTTTCAGGAATACATTGAATCATGTTCCTAGAAATAAGCAGAAACAAACCATTTGGAAATGCGAAGAACACGTTCTAAGAATTAATGCACAACGTGTCCGGTTTCACGTAAAACTGAAGTTACATTTATTTAAGAATAAATCTCATATGACTTGTATTAATTTTTTTCTTTTTCGCCATCAATTACAACTCTATTTCAGTTTTTCACAACATTTTTTTACAAGATAGATATTATTAACAATATTTTAACGAGCAGACTTTACTTCTTTTTTTTTACCAATTATTACTATGGCATTGTATAATAATTAGAAATGATTGTAAAAACATTCTATTAATCAGAGCTAGGAATTTCTATAATTATAAAATTGAAAGTTAATGAGAGGTAATCAATATCAGATTAATCTTCAGTTTTTACAAGATGTGATTTATCTTCGAGAGAAGCAAAACGACATAAAAGGATAAAGAATTGCTAAATAAATTATTATATCAAGGAGATTGACAACTTGAATGATGAAACGTATTTCCCCGGTTAACAGATTAAGTATCTTGCGAACTTTAATGAGATTGATAAAAGCATACTCACCAAAACAGTTAGTTAAAACTAAAAGTTAAAGTATTATTGATAAAATGTTAATTAAAATATTTATCTTCTTTTAAAATTCAATTATAGTGCATACATTGATAGTGAGTTCTATAATATTCACCCTTCATACAATTACATTTATTATATAATATTAAATACTATTAATTACAATTAATAGTTCTAATAACAAACAAAATTCAGTGACGAATATAACACTTAATAAATAAGGAAATAGATGTTATAATAAATATTTAATTCGATAATGAATATAACACTTAATTAATAAACTAACAAATTAAGTTAATAATAAACAATACAATGTTTAAATATCGTCATAAATTATATAAATTTTTCGGCACGTTATTTTTCCTTCTCGTTAACATTTTTCATGTAATTTGTGTTGTGTATTTTCCATTAGAGCATCTAATGAAATTAGTAACTAATATGAAATTAATAATATTTTAACAGAAACACCATCGACACGATCCTTTCCATTTTCTATTAGTTCTCGTGATTACTATTTTCTTCGGATCGCCTTCCCCGAGAAGCGGGTGCTTCGTAGAGGTCAATTCCCTGAAGGCCGTCCTTCCGGGACTGGCAGACGCGTGAGAAGGTTGTATGTATGTGTATATATCTACCAGATAAGCAGTGACTCCCTACACAACTCTCGAACAGGGACGATGAAACAGTTGATACAACACTTCGGAAAAACTCCGTCTGCCCTTAACTGTTACTTACCGATCCGAAGTAGATAGGTGAAGTAGATTATCACGTGAAATTCCTATCTATCTGTTTACTTTCCCTATTCCTTGTATCAATATTCATAACGGAACAAACTTGGCCAGCTTGGTCAATAGTATCGGGGATGATGGAATGACTTTTCCCTGCTTCCTGGAAACGTAGACAAATGTAAATTGTACTTATAAGAAATTCGTCGAATGATCTGTATTAAATAACATTTAAAAATGATAAATGAGTGTTTATGTCGCACGACAAGGCTTAATTAACTCGATAAATGAAAATTAACTCGTCAAATCACTGGATTTTCGCGGGGAAACGTTCGTTGGACGTTTCATTCACTCAGCTTGCGCGTGATGACACCAGAGGAAATCCATCAAACGTCGCGTCAGAAAATCCGCGTGACGTAAAACGTAGTTGCAGTGAGAACGGAGGAGGAGGCGGGGGGAGGGGGAGGAGGACGAGGAGGATCGTGGTATTTTCTCGATTTTCCATTTTAACGCGCGGCAACGCAAGGCCATGGTTAAAAGCCTCATTATCATCTTCGAATACGAGGTATAGATCAAAGAGAGCGTAGTAGTAGAGTATGTCCCTGAGGGTTTTAGCCGAGTATCGCCAACTCTGCTTCTCCGCAGGCTTTCTCGGTGTTAAAGCTCGTCCACATGTTCCTTTTATGTTTTATTGCACGATACACGGGTACTCGGCTTGTCTAAATACTATAAAACGTGTACACACATAAACGTGCAATGCGCAACATAGTACACGTAAGCTAAGA